TGATGTCTACCTTGGTTACCATTCTTAGAGCCTTCATCCAGTAGCTGTTTGAAGCAGAAACAGGCACCCACAGCTAAGCACTGAACCATACTCCTAGAATCCAGTTGTAGAGAGGAAGGAGGGATGGGAAAAGGATCCAAGACAAGGCTGAAAAAACCTGTAGCAGCAGTGGACCTGACCTACTGATAAAATGGAGACCCTAGTCATAAAGCTGGGGAAACAGCATTGGACCAAACCAAGCCCTCTGAATGTGGGTACCAGGTAGGAGTCCAAGACAGTCTATGGGTCCTCCAACAGCAGAGCCAGTCTTTATCCCTAGAGCACAAATAGACTTTGGCAGCCCATTCCCTATGGAGGGATACATTGCAGCCCAGATACAGCAAGGGGGGTCTAGGCCCTCCCCCAAACAATATGACAGACTTTGGAGGTCCTTGGTAGAGTGCCTCACTATTAGTTGGGGGGTGGGTTTAGGAGTTGGGGGGGGAACATGGGAGTATGGGAAGGCAAGGGGATGGGGGATGGATATGTAAATATGAGTAATAATTAAAGAATAAAAAAGGAAAAGGAAAAAGAATATGAAAAAAACTAAAGAAAAAAGAAAACATAGCATTCTTGAGAACTCTACTTCAGCCTATGGTATAAAAACAGACCACAATAGAAATGCTGAAGTACCAAACTCCTGATTCATAGAAGATAATTAAATGACATTTAATCTTCTCTCCTCCATTTTAAATTCATGTATTTTTATAGAAACTAGGATATGGCTTATGTTCACAGCAGTAATCTCTAGTAGACAGCAAAGAATGATAGAGTTAACTCTGTATGTATTGATGATAAGGGTGTTGATACTACAAACTGTAAGATGGCAAAAATATTATTTTTTTTCATGGATGTGTATCAGCTTGACTGAAGGAGACTATCACACTTGGAATACTAGATAATGTGGTCATATAAACACACAAAAAAAAATTTCACAGAGTCATGGTGACAAGATATTCCTACGGTTTCACAGGAGTTAGTGTGAAGGAAAGCTGTTGAATTTGGACATTGACTTTTTACCTACAAACCTTTGGTCATCCATGTCTTGACTCTTCAGGGAATCATCAGTAATGGCTTCTACTAGAACATTCAGTTCTCTGACCCATGAAAAATAGAATTAAAACAATAGAAGGTATATAGGTAAGATCTTAGGTAATTGATTGATAAACAATAACAAAGGAAGATGAATGAAGTGTATATCCCAAGATAAGATTGCCAAATTTCCTGCACCAAATCACCATATTTTTCTTAGAGTGAATGTTACAAGAGGTTTTCTTCAATTTACTAAGGTTTTCCCTTCTGTAACAAATCAGAAACTATTCTGTAAGTTTACCACTATGTGTGCAAATTGAGCTTCAAATAAACTTGCAGGATTTATGTCCATGTGCTACTACCGTGGCTTTAAGCTTTCTGGAATAATGAGAACATTTCTAACTAAAAGTGGTGTCAGTATTCCCAGTGCCAGTTAGCCTTCTGTTTCATTTGTGATTTGGAGACTTTGATGGTGATTTGTGTTCTTAGGAGTCAGTTCTAGGGAAAGTGTTGAAGACATTCACTCATTTGTGTAAGGGAAGCACAGATGCCAGGGTACAGGAGAGGTGACTTGGATCACAATTATGGTACTTTTGTCCATAAAGCTCAAACTTCCTTTGGAGACTTTCCTCAAATAGTTGTAACTGTTTAACTGGG